CACGGAAAGGACGGGCGTGGGGGAGGCACGCGCAGCGGACGAGGCCTCATGCCTCGAGGCATGCGGAAAGGCGGGACAACACGCGCGCAGAGGGGCAGCCGAGAGCGAAGGCGCGCACAACACGCGTGATAAGGACGGACGCGCGGGGCGCGGAGCCGTAGTCCTCGAGGAGTGCGGACTGGCGGGTGGACACGCGCACGAGGGCGGCGCGATGGGCGCAAGCATGCGCCGCACGATGGGCGACGATGCATGCGCTGATGGCGGTGCCCTAGTCCTCAAGGACTAGGGCGTGGGCGAAGGCGGCGCGCGGGTAGGGCGGTCGCATGGAGGGGCCGAAGAGAGAGAGTGAAGATCCCTTGGAGTGCAAGCCAAGTTATTTAGTTTCCATCTTGCACAATGATATCTAGGTTAATTAGGATACTTAATATTTTATTGCTTTCCTAGAGTTATAGATATATTAAGATTAGATCTATTTGGTGCCTATATAAAGGACCATCCCCCATGTTATTTTTCATCATCCAAGAAGTCAATAGAAATCTAGAACTTTGTTCTTCCAACTTTGCTTTAGTCTTTTCACCAGAATACTATTGTAATTTTATCGTTTCAATAGGCGCGGTTGTGGCTAGAGAAACACTATCGGTGATTCAAGGCGCGGGTTAGCGGCTTATCGGCAGTCGAAACACACGATCCTCATCATTGGTTCTTTCATTGAGAGGTGTTGATCGTGTGTTTTTCTTCTACCCCATTCCCTTTCTTTTTCTTTTCGTTTTTTCGTCCCCCTATGAAAAAAAAAAAAAAACTTCGTTCATCATCACTATCATCGTCTCAACCACGAGTCCACAAAGCAAAGAGCGGAGAGAAGAAAGAAAAGCCATGGCCAACAAAGAGATGAAGGATAAGATCGACAACCTTGACATCCAGATGCGAAGTATGAGCGAGGTTATGGAAGGAAGGCTTGGATCGCTTGACGAAAGTCAAAACAATACCAATGCCGTTGTCACACGGCTCGAACAGCGATTAGAGGAAGTTTTGCATGCACTCCAACAGAAACCACCTCACCGCGACGATCCCCCGAGGCGCGAACCCCGTCGGCACGACGAACACGGCGATCGCACACCATACCCACGGCGCGAGGATCGACGCGAGCAATGGCGCGCACGCGAACAGGAGGAGGGTCGGCGACACGAGCGTTACGAACACGAGGAGGATTTCGATCGACGGTCGCAAGCGTCCACCTACCGTGAGCGGCCTAAGCCCGACAAGCCGAGGTTCATAATGTCCATCTTCACGGGTAGTGATCCGGAGGCTTGGCTCAACCGAATCGCGCAATATTTCGAACTGAATGAAACCGACGGTCACGCTCGAGTAAGGTACGCAGCATTCTACTTAGATGGTGAGGCCAACGTATGGTGGCAGTGGCTTTCCCGGATCTACCGTAGGCGGCAGCAGGTCATTACATGGGCTGATTTTGAGAGAGAATTGCTTACTCGATTTGGCACGTCCGATTACCATAATTATAATGAGGCTCTCGCGCGAATCCTACAGACGGGCAATTTGCGTGAATACATCAAGGAGTTTGAACGACTAGCCTGTCGCGTGCGAGATTGGTCTGAAGATGCGCTAGTAGGGGCCTTCGTAGCTGGACTGAGATTCGATCTAGCCGCAGAAGTCCGACTGGAGCGGCCGGACACGATGCATAACGCCATGGAGGTGGCCCGCCGACGAGAAGACCATCTAGTCGCTACGCGAAGGGGACGGGCGGATGTGCGATACGCCGACACACGGCGCACGGGGCCAAACCCAGCCACGCCCAGCGCACGGCCGAGCGTCAGCAATCGGCCAGCGGGGTCGATAGTGAGGCGGCTGTCTCCCGAGAAAATTAAACGTCGACGTGAGAAAGGCTTATGTTTTAAGTGCGAGGAGAAGTTTACACCGGGTCATCAGTGTAAGCAAGCCTTTGTGATCGAAGTTGCTAATCCCAATGAGGAATGATCTGAGAACGAGGAGGAACCACATCAGGATATCGTAGTTGAGGGGCCTGACGAAGAAGCAGAAATCTCAATGCACGCGATGGCCGAGATACGAGGGCCTCGAACGATGCGATTGCCGGCCTGGGTCAAGGATCGGAAGGTGGTGGTACTAGTAGACAACGGGTCATCACACAACTTCATCAATACCGACTTGTCTCAGAAGCTGAACTTACCAACCACGATTATCGAACCTTTTGAGGTACGAGTAGCCAATGGTGAGAGGCTGCAATGCACTAAATCCTTCCGTAAGGTACCAATCAGGTTCAGCGGAGTTACGGTGAAGGCTGATCTCTATGCCTTACCTCTGGTTGGGCCGGATGTCGTCCTAGGAGTACAATGGCTCGAGGAGTTAGGTAAAGTGACCACTGACTATCGAACAGGAATTATGGAGTTCAACGCCGGAGGTCAGCAAGTCACACTAAGTGCAGGCAATGAAAAAGGTGCCAAGGAAGTAGGGCTTAAGAGTATTGAGAAGGTTTGGCGGGGAGGAGGCCAAATATTTGTCGTACTAGTGGAGAAGACTGAGGCGCACATAGATCAAGAGGAGCAACATCAAGGAGATGTGCACGAGCTTCTCCAGGAATTTGAGGGAGTACTAGGCGAACCTAAGGGACTACCTCCACACCGGGAGTTCGATCATCGCATACCTCTGATCAACGAACAGCATGCCATACACGTTCATCCCTATAGGTATGCTCACTTTCAGAAAACTGAGATCGAACGGCAAGTGGCCGTGATGCTTGAATCAGGACTAATACAGCATAGCAAGAGTCCGTTTTCTTCTCCAGTTCTGTTAGCCAAAGAGAAAGACGGCACGTGGAGGTTCTGTACTAACTACCGAGCTCTAAATGCTGCAACCATCAAGGACCGATTTCCTATCCCGAGTGTTGATGACATGCTTGATGAGTTAGCCGGGTCACGCTATTTCTCTAAGCTCGATCTGAGAGCTGGTTACCATCAGATTCGGCTCCACAAAGCCGACATTCCAAAGACAGCCTTTCGTACACACCAGGGGCACTATGAGTATCTTGTTATGCCATTCGGATTATGCAACGCCCCATCCACTTTCCAGATCGCCATGAATTCTATCTTCAAGGAGTATCTGCGTAAGTTCGTTCTAGTATTCTTTGATGACATCCTGATCTATTCGAAGTCATGGGGCGAACATCTTGGGCATCTGAGAGTAGTGCTCGAAATTCTGGAGGCCAACTCATTCCACATAAAGCCATCTAAATGTTCTTTTGGGCAGAGGATGGTTGAGTATTTGGGGCACTTCATATCACACGAGGGCGTGAGGGTCGATCCACGAAAGATTGAGGCTATGGTCGATTGGCCTAAACCAACAAGTCTCACGCAGTTAAGAGGATTCCTCAGACTCACGGGCTACTACCAAAAGTTCGTGAAGGATTATGGAACCATCGCCAAGCCGTTGACAGAGATGACTAAGAAAGGCGGGTTTACATGGACCGAAGCTAGTGAGGAGGCGTTTGGGAAACTGAAGGAAGCTATGACTACAACGCCAGTACTCGCCATGCCCAGGTTTGATGTCCTGTTCGAGGTACACACCGATGCGAGTGACATTGGAATTAGAGCTGTGCTAGTGCAAGAAGGACGACCCCTAGCCTATCTCAGCAAGGCACTAGGTACTACCCGATTGGGTCTATCGGTGTACGTGAAGGAGATGCTAGCAGTCATCGAAGCTGTAAGGTACTGGAGGCCTTATCTGTTAGGCCGACGTTTTCAGATTATTACCGACCAACAGCCGCTTAAGCATCTATTGGAGCAAAGGATTGTTACCCCCGAGCAGCAGAAGTTCGTATCTAAACTTATGGGGTTTGACTTCGAGATAATCTATCGACCGGGTCGACAAAACGCAGTAGCCGACGCACTATCCCGACGAACAGATGTGGCCGAGTTGAGTGCTATCACTGGGCCTACTTGGACCATTTGGGAAGAGATCAGGAAGGCGCAAGTAGAGGACACCCATTGCCAGGAGCTGCGCCAAGATAAAAGCAGGTAAGACAACTGCTATCGACTACGAGTGGCATAATGGTCTACTTCTACACCGAGGTCGAGTCTATGTCCCCGACAGTGGGCAGTTACGCGAACAGATTATGCAGCACTTTCATGACTCTAAGGTTGGAGGCCACTCGGGTATCTACCGCACGTGGATGAGAATAGCCAACACTTTCTTCTGGCCCGGACAACAGAGTACCGTCCGAGACTACATAGCACGATGCGATGATTGCCAGCGCACTAAGTCTGACTCACGGCGACCGAGTGGGCTATTGCAACCACTACCAGTGCCCGAGGCAATCTGGGAAGACATCACTATGGATTTCATAGAAGGGTTACCGAGTTCCAATGGATTTGACGGTGTTATTGTTGTAGTGGATCGTCTCACCAAGTATGCTCACTTCATACCCATTACCCATCCTTACACCGCGAAGTCCATTGCCAGGTTATTCGTGGAGTACGTGATGAAACTGCATGGAGCACCTCGATCCATCGTCTCTGATCGAGACCGGATCTTTATGAGCAGCTTTTGGTCTGAATTCTTCAAATTGCAAGGAACTAAGTTATCAATGAGCTCAGCCTACCACCCATAGACAGATGGACAAACTGAGGTAACCAACCGAACCCTTGAGCAGTATTTGAGGTGCTACGTCCATCAATTCCCAAAACGGTGGGAAAACTTTTTACCCTGGGCTGAGTATTGGTACAACACCACTTACCACGAGTCGACCAAGATGACGCCATTTGAGTTGGTATACGGGCGAAAACACCCAACGCTGATCAATTATTCGGAGGGAAGTACGGTCAACGATGAGGTTGGTCGAGAACTAGAGGAACGAGATTTGATGCTACGTGAGCTGAAGAGAAATCTCGAAGGCTCAATTAACCAAACTAAAGCCTTCGCAGATGGAAAAAGGCGTGAGGAAAATTTTGCACCAGGTGAATATGTCTACCTAAAGTTACGACCATTCAGACAGCGCACAACAGCACAAAGAGCCGCCACTAAACTAGGCGTTCGCTATTATGGGCCTTATCAGATTCTGAAGCGCATTGGACAGGTAGCATATCGTCTAGAGTTACCCGAAAGTTCGCAAATTCACCCAGTTATTCATGTCTCACAACTCAAGAGAAGTTTGGGGGAAGCGCAAAAGTATTGTGAGGAGTTACCTACCACCGCAACCGATGGTAGGGCCATAGTTCAACCAAAACGAGCGATTGAGTACCGTAAGGTAAAGAGAGCAGGGCGCTATTGTTGGGAAGTACTAGTTGACTAGGAAGAATTGCCATCTGAAGAAGCCACGTGGGAAGATCTTGAAGAGATGCGAGACCAGTTCCCGAACTTCATCCTTGAGGACAAGGAATCACTTGAAGGGGATGGGAATGATGCGGAAGTGGCTAGGCAGCTCAAGAACGCCGCTAGTCGAGCTTACCATGCACACAAGAGGCTGGCACTGGCAACGGCAGAAGTGCGCACACTAGAGCGGAGTGCGCGCGACACGGGCGAAGATAGGCTGCACACGGATATGCGGGCGGTATGCGCGGCTGGCATGTGTGGTGTAGGTGGGCAGGACGTGCGTAGCGCGGGGTTGATGGGCGCGCGCACGGAAAGGACGGGCGCGGGGGAGGCACGCGCAGCGGACGAGGCCTCATGCCTCGAGGCATGCGGAAAGGCGGGACAGCACGCGCGCAGAGGGGCAGCCGAGAGCGAAGGCGCGCACAACACGCGTGATAAGGACGGACGCGCGGGGTGCGGAGCCATAGTCCTCAAGGAGTGCGGACTGGCGGGTGGACACGCGCACGATGGGCAACGATGCACGCGCTGATGGCGGTGCCCTAGTCCTCAAGGACTAGGGCGTGGGTGAAGGCGGCGCGCGGGTAGGGCGGTCGCATGGAGGGGCCGAAGAGAGAGAGTGAAGATCCCTTGGAGTGCAAGCCAAGTTATTTAGTTTCCATCTTGCACAATGATATCTAGGTTAATTAGGATACTTAATATTTTATTGCTTTCCTAGAGTTATAGATATATTAGGATAAGATCTATTTGGTGCCTATATAAAGGACCATCCCCCATGTTATTTTTCATCATCCAAGAAGTCAATAGAAATCTAGAACTTTGTTCTTCCAACTTTGCTTTAGTCTTTTCACCAGAATACTATTGTAATTTTATCGTTTCAATAGGCGCGGTTGTGGCTAGAGAAACACTATCCGCGATTCAAGGCCCGGGTTAGCGGCTTATCGGCAGTCGAAACACACGATCCTCATCAGCGGGCCTGTGCACACGCTGCCAGTCGCGCTGGCTGACTGATGAAGATCGTGTATCTGCCTCAACTCGAATTGCTTGAAACCCGCGCCGACGCCTTGGTCCCGAAGTGATAGGTTGCTAATACGCGCGCCAACGCCTTCGTACTTCGCGATAGTTGTGAAAAAACTCGGATGTTGGTCCTATTTCTAACATGATAGGTGTGAAGAAACCCGGATGTTGGTCCTCTTTCTACACGATTTTGTATGTAAACTCACACACAAGAGTTGGTGAACAAACGTTCGATTTTCTATTAATTCTTCGATGATGAAAAATAACATAGGGTATATGGGTATTTATAGGAGAAAACCAAATCTAATTCTAATCTAACTAGATCTCCTAAACTGTGCAGTAAATAAATCCTAAATCTACTAAATCTCTAATTAAAGTAATTAAATATTAACTAACCTATACAATCTAGATATTGTTGTGCAAGAAGGAAACTAAATATACTAGAGTCCTAATTGACTAGATTGTCTTGATCTTGCTTGGCTTTCACCCCAAGCAATTCCAAATTCATTCGGCCGCCTCAAACTTCTCGCGTCCGCGTCGCTCGTGTCATCCATGCGCCGCCTCTCGCGCTCGCCTACTCCTGCGCACATTAGGAGTCGCGCGCGACCTTCCCA